AACACCCCTCCCACCCTCACCCACTACTGTTTACCTTACCACCATCCAGCCTATGTGTTCGTTACAGACCACATCTTTCTAGATCCCGTTGTATCGGTTTCACAACGGGCTTTTCTGCTAGTAGTGCCATAAAGTCCACCCTCAAAGCAGCCATTTTCTTCAAGGAAACTGATCTCTATAGTCTGACGAGCAGTTGTAGTTCTGGGCTGGCTCCAGGATCCCACCTTGAGGTGGGCAGCCCTGTATAATAGGACTAACAGCAAGGTGGGGCCCAGAGATCTCCCAGAATTACAACTGATGTCCAGGTGACAAAGATCCGTCCCCCATGACAAAATTGCTACCGGTTTATTCTGAGGAGCTGTCAGCAAGCTGCCATAAGGTGGTGTGTTCTCATATACATGTTATATTGTGCTCTGTCCACCCACCCCCCCCTGTATCCTCCTGTGTAGGTGTTTACTTTCTTTTGCTTACTACATCTGCGGAACTGCTCCAGGTCAACCAGCTGGAGGTGGGATGGAGTTATGGCGTTGCTTTGCTTATTATGTATCTTATGCCTGAGAACTGAACTTGTGTTTATGTTGTAGAACCGTTGTGTTCCCAAGGAATTGGGCGCTCGTTTTATCTGCATTCCCGCCAGCGGGAATTGGACTCATTGGTCCTAACCTGGTTCAAGTTCCTTTATTATGTTGCCCTTTGGGGTCTGTAGTCATTCCTAACAATTCTTGTGTTCCTGAGCTAACCATCGCTTTATAATAAATTTGACTTTGTTTTCAAACGTGGATTTATTTCGAATGCATGGGGAATCGGACGGGGGGGACTCTGTGGCATCAGGTCCATGCTGAGCTCCATCGCCTCCCCAAACCCCGCCCTCCTCAGGCTCCACCCCGAGATCTCCAGGAATTTCCCAACCCAGCTGAGTGCTTGAGTCAGGCAGCAGATAATGGGGGCATGACAAACTATTCCAAGGCTCAGCTGGTGTGTAAGTTAGGGTACAACTGCTAGATTCATTGGTATGGTACAGCCAGGAAGCTCTACATGTAGCAGAGTCAGCACTGGGCTACATGCAGCAGCAGCTTCTTGGTACTGTAGGTGATAGCAAAGTCACAGAGTTACATGGAGCCACTTGTCAGTTTCAAACGAATAAGAATCCTTTGCGTGCTTAGTCGGAAGAAAGAGACTGGCTGTCAGCTATGCTGCCAAGAGTATGGTGTATGTTTCTGATTGCTGTGCATTCCTTCCCATGCGCTTAATTGCTTCTTCGCTGTAACGCATAATCTCTCAAGGCCACTGGAGGAGTTGATGGGTCTAGAATTCGTGGGAAGCTTCTCACCTACCCTGCTTCTGCAGCCGTTAGTTCTCAGCCAAATGCCCGCACGCGGGAACCCACATAATTGTGTACTACGTGGGGGGGGGGTGTATACAAATGCCCTATATTTTATTATCCGAGGCGGGCAGGCTGGGGGGGGCCTTGGAAGGATCGGGGAGGCATTTAAATGGAAGGCATGGGGTGGCCGAATATGTTAATGAGCTGTGCTATCAGGGTGTGGCCTAATATGCTAATGAGTCTGCTGTTGGGTGTGGCCTATTATGCTAATGAGTTCCTGCTGGGCTTTTTCTACAAAAAAAGCCCTGGGCACAGGTAAGCATTATAAATTAAGGTCAGCTTTATTTAACTATTAATTCAACAGGAATAAACTGTAACTGGCAAGGGCTGCAACACACATCTGGCGAAGGGATCCCCTGATCCCTTTCCCGACCTTATAGGGGGTGAACCATCGAGCCCCTGGCACAAGCCAACCACAACACAGCCTTTGCCAGGTGGCAGACATGCCTACACTCCGCCGTGAGCCAACCACCTCTAGCCTCGGAGCATGAGGGGAAACCCAGCACGACGTGTAAAGCAAGCCACCCACAGTCCCCATCCAAGGCCCATACCAAGAAATGGTTTGTGCTAAGTGCGCCAATCCCCCGAACAAGGGGGGGGCTCTGTCACTTGGTGTCCCCCCTCATAACAGAAACAGGCCAGATTTCCACCAACCCTATTTAACAGCACCACCCGAAGCCAATTCCCCAACCTCAAAGAGGTAGGGAAAAACACCCCCCTTTCCCAGCCAATCTGAAACGGGGGTGAAAAATTCCTACCCAGCCCCAAGTTGGCAACCAGCAGAAGCCCACATTGTCTAGGGAGGGAGGGCCAATTGCAAATGATCTGCCCTGATGAGGGGGAGCGATGCAGTAATAAGCACCAAGCTCCTCCCATCACCAAATACCCATTATGGGCGGGAATTGCCCCAAACCAGGGGTCATTTTGTAGAAAAAGAGGTGCAGGCGCTCATTAGCGTAACTCATTAGCATAACTTTTTTGCATATGTCACACCCCCTGACATCACCAGAAGTGTGTCAGAAGGCAACACCCACCGCTCAAGCTCCACTCTGGACTGTTTTGGATTGCTAGCTATTGGGGGGAGGGGACGTGCAGATCTGTCCTCCCAGAGGAGGGAAAGCTGGTACCTGAATAAAACTTGGTCTTAAAGGTGCCACTGGACTGTTTTGGACCGGGGGGGCTGGGGGGGAGCTCTGCAACTTACCTGGCTGCTTCCTGCTCTGACTGAGAGCTGCTGGGAGCAGGGGGTGGGGTTTGTTGCATGTGCCCGCCCCCTGGGCTCTTTACTGCCGGAGCTCCGCTCCTGTGCGCTCCTGCAGTAAATGACCCCTGCCCCAAAAAAGTCTCCCGCCTTCCAAGCATGCCAAGTAGGCCCTCCATCCTTATGCAGCCCGTTGGCCCGCCATCTGTTATGGCCGTATTATCCAAGGAACTACATTCTAGATAGGATAGGTTGAGAAATCGGGACAGAATCTAATCTAACTAGCTAGATGGATGCGGATGCAGAATGCCTGTCTTGCATCCATGGTGGCAAAGATGGAGAGTGTGTGCTCTTTCTTTGTGTGGGTGAGAAAGAAGGTGTCAAACCGGAAGAAAGGGAATCTTCCCTAAGAATAGCATTCTACATCCAAGGGATAGTTATCACATAGCAGAAAGAAAAGGATGCTCTGTGTGTGTCCTGACCTCTTTGTCTCGAAGTCTATGGTGCCGTCTCTGAAGCCTGAGACAGGAGACGGCGTATAGTCCTCCTCTTCCAACAAGATGAAGGTGTGTTTGCCTGGTGAACACATTTAAATGCAAAGTTCTCAGCATACCTAATCGCTTTATGCTGATTTACACTGAAACCCATTTGCCACAATGTTGCTCTTTTACCCGGTTTAGAGAAGTCCTCTTGGAGCTCTCCACAGTCTGCTTTGGTTTTCCTCACCTGAAGAATGTAGTTCTTTCTGCAAACATGAATGCTTCACTGGGAAATGGCATTTCAAAATCTCTGGTGGTCTTTCTCAACACTTGATACCTGAGATCCTTTAACTGGAAAAACCAGGGCCTGAACCTGGGATTTTCTGCATGCAGAGCATACTTTCCACCACTGTGCCACAGACTCTCCCCCTGTGCTGCTGTGTCTGTGCACCGTGAGCAACCAAATAATGAAATGCAGGTTGACTGGAAGAAGATAAGGTCAGAGATGAAATCCATCATGCAGAGACACTGTGGACATCCTCCTCAGGGAACAGAGACTTGTGACTTTGCAAGAGACTTCCAAGAATCTCCTTTCACAACCCTCTTGCAGAAAAGGATGAAATGCAGAAGAAGGTAAAGTCAGAGATACAATTAATCATGCAGAGACACTGTGGACATCCTCCTCAGTGAGCAGATACTTGGGACTTTGTAGGAGACTCTTAAGAATTTTCCCTCACAACATTTCACAGCACGTTTGGCAAAGACTGTCAGATACAGTCAGTATCTGGTGAGTTTGTAGTTCCCTCTTTTTACCTAACTTCTCTTTCTCTCTGACTCAGACCTGCTCTCTTCTGCTTCTGTGTTGTATGCCACTCAAAAGCTGGCTGTTTACTCCTGCCACATCCACCCGCCCACCCAGCCAACCTAGCCTGCAATGGGTGGGGTGTGTATATATATAGCAAGCAGACAACATAAACCCCTTCACAACTGCTGGGTTTGCTGCTGTTTGGAATTACAGTTCCCCACATTTCAGTCCAACAACTACACAATGGGCAAACTCCTTGTCTTGTGTGCTGCGATTCTTGCCTGCACCAGTATCGGTAAGACATCCATTTGGTTTAAAGGCTTTGCCTTTCTTTCTTCTTGCATTTTTAAAAATGAATGTTATTTCTGGATCTCTTACCTGGAAAAAAGAAATGTGTTCGTGTATAATATTCATTGCTGTATTCCTACCAAAGTTTCCGTCTGGGGACTTGTTTTTAAATTTAGTCACCCGAGCTGGGAAAGAGAACTCTTTCTTGAAAGCAGAATTTTTTATAGTATGCAATACAAAGAATACTCAGAGGGAGGAGGAATTCTGATTTGCCCTGAAGGATAATAGCCCACTCATTGTAGAATAAAAGGAGTTCTGCATTGCCGTCTTAAAACTGTCATCACGCTTATTTATTGATTACATTTGTGACCTACTTGGCTTCCATGCCACATTTACTGATCAGATTTTTCGTTTGCTGTTCATTCAGGCTCTGGTTCCCCACCACCAACAACAACAATTTTAATCTCACAACAAACTTGTGGGGTAGCTTTGACTGAGAGCCCAGTTAGGGATGCCAGCCTCCAGGTGGGATCTGGAGACTCCCCCCCCTCCAAATTGACAGCTCATCTACAGACTACAGAGATCAGTTCCCCTGGAGAAAACGGCTGATTTGGAGCGTGGGCTCTGTGGCACCATGCCCCACTAAAGGCCCCCGTCCTCCCCAGGCTCCATCCCCAAATCTCCCGGACTTTCCCAACCTGGATCTGGCAACCATACCAACCCACACACACACACACGCACACACACACACCAGTGACCATGGAGGACCTGGCAACCCTGTCCAAGGTTCCCAGGTCCTATGCCCCACCCAGGCCCTCAAGAGACCCCAGACATATTGCCTTTCGACAAAGCTGTTCTGTCACGTGCCTTCAGTCCACACCCTGGAAACAACCTTCTTTCTGCATTTTAAGTGCTGAAATACACCACTATGTCCCCCCCCCTCTGAAAACCTTGACCTCTTGAATCCCAGCACCTCTTTGCTCTAACAGTAACCAAATAAATCTCCCTTCCCTTTGAGATCCCAGAACATTTACACCTTTCTACACCTCCTGCCAACCTAGCAGTTCGAAAGCAAGAAATTGCAAGTAGATAAATAGGTACCACTTCGGTGGGAAGGTAACAGCGTTCCGTGTGCCTTGGTGTTTAGTCATGCCGGCCACGTGACCACGGAAACGTCTTCGGACAGCGCTGGCTCTTCGGCTTTGAAACGGAGATGAGCTCCGCAACCCTAGAGTCGGATTCGACTGGCTTTCGAGCAAGGGAACCTTTACCTTTACCTTTTACACCTCCTAAACCCCAATCACTCCCCAATTGCATCTTAATGTTTTCACAGTGGAATGTTTAGGGAACTGCTCTCCTAAACTGTCCAACAAAAGTCCTTTTGTTTGTTTGCAAGGCATACCCAACCTGATCATTCCCAAAAAACAGTTTCAAAAATGCTCCGAACCAACTCCTGTTGGGATTATCCTTCCAACCCCTGAATTTCTGCCTATGCAAAAGGACAGTCTCTCTTTTACCTCCATGATACTGCCTTCACAATCCTACACTTGTGGGGGGGGGAGAACCTTTTGAATGTTGAGAGGAAAGAGTAAGCAAATATATTATATGAGAAAAATGCGAAGGAGCTGATAGGAAATAGCAGACGATGAAATCTTGAAGGCCTTGAGTATATTTGCCTTATAGAGAACATGGAATGGGAACCCCGCCAACAGATATGGTATTATTTTCTTAACAGAGCAATCTTAAATCGCTCCCCATATCTAATGTGGACAGGAAGAAAGGGAGATTTCGCAGTCTTGAACACCTAGAATATTTGTGTGGTTTTTTTGAAAAAAAATCAAGCAGGGATGGGCTAGGATAGCTCTGAGGCTAATAGGACAGATAAGAAAATGAATAGCCAAGGCACGTGCACATTCCTGCTAAGATATTCACTTTGGATCAAACCAGCTAAGACCTCTGGAAAATCTACACTTTGAGATCTAGCGCAATTTTATTTGTTACACTGCAGCTACATTCCTCCCCGCCCCCCAACACACACACCGACTGGATCAGAACCGCACCATTTGAGAGGAAGATTAACTCCTCCCCACCACCACCCTGCACCATTTCCCCAACTCTGAGGGTCCCCCCCCAAATGGCTGTTGTCCCAATGAGGAAAACATACAAGCAATACATATGTTTGCCAGGGCTCTTTTTGTAGAAAAAGCCCAGCAGGAACTCATTAGCATAATAGGCCACACCCAAAAGCAAGAACTCATTAGCCCATTAGGCCACACCACCATGTTACCAGAAGTGTGGTCATCCAGACACACCCACCTTTCCCTTCTTAATCTGTTTACCTTGTTTGTTGTCAAACCCCTGGGCTTTTTTAACTCCTTTGCATGTTAGGCCACACACCCCTAATGTAGCCAATCCTAATGAGTTTCTGATATTGGGTGTGGCCTATTATGCTAATGAGTTCCTGCT